ATTCCCTTTGGAGTGAGTTTGTTTTTATTTACAAGCATGTATGTATTAATTACATACATGAACTTGGTAGAAAAATTTCAATCTTCCTTTTCAGAATCAAATACTTGTTTCTTCGTTAGTGTTGAATCTACATGGCATTGTCAGTTAGCCTTGCAATTATTTTGTTTCTGAAATCTGGACTTTATAGAAAATTAATTGTAAACATATATCTATTTTAGCAGCTAAATTGAATAGTGGCTTAATAGCTCAAGGGGAAATTTAAGATTTATAAGAGTCAATTTCCCTAGAGAGTTTGATCTCAGTCACAAAGCCACCATGAGAAGAGCAGGTCATGAATTTTCATTCTGAACAAACTCACTGTCCTAGACCAACATCAGATGTGGGAGAGAACACACAGCTTGATACAACCAGCTTATCAGCCTTTACGAACACCCTTTTAATTAAAAAAAAAAAAAAGCAAACACAACCAATTGCATCTAAGAGACAAATCAGGTCATATTCATGTATTTAGAAGAATTGTTTTGCTTTTCCTCGCTATTTCTCCCCTGCCAATGTTTGCTATTACTACAGAAAACAAAACAACCCCCGCCCAAAATAAAACCAAAAAATAACACCTGGAAAAATCAAATAAATACCTGTCCTCAGGCCCCGCCCCTAGGGGTTCCCCTTTATTAGGTTCTGAGGCCTGGCTGAGGCCTTGGTTTTAAAGCTCCCCAGGTGTGGATAAGATTGAGGACCACTGTATCTGGCTATGAGGCCTGAACCGTATTTTCTTGCTTTCAATAACTGCACTGTGCGATATTAGAAAGACCAGTTTCTGGGGAATGTGGGATGTATGAATCATAATTAGGCACTCTAGGTGTCAACCACAGCCTGGGTAGGGAACACCTGTGGAGAGGAGAATTAAAAATGAATGATGCCCTTTGTACCATAATGATAATACATTCTACTCTCTGGGAAGCTATTAAAATCGTCCCCTTAAGAATTTTTTTTCAAGTCTATTTTAAAGTGACACCAGAGAAAGTAATATGGAGTGTTCAAGTAGGCTCTGTGTACTTAACCTGGCAGAGCTTCCTACAAAATATTTTGTTATTTTATTTATGTGCGTGTCCAGCAGTGACGGGGGGGGGGGGGGGGGAGGGACAGGATTGTGCCAGGTGCAAAAACAAGGAAACTGGCTTCCCATCTGCACTACCTCTGAGCAAGTCGGACTTGGCCTGTCTATGCCTTATTCTGTCTTTCGAATTCTGAGGTCTGTTTGATGCACACATTTCATAAGAGTATGGTCTTATCTAAATGATCGTTTATGCCCATAGAATACCCTCTGCCACATTGTTCCCCGGTACCCCCTGGATCCCAGGAATGCGGTAATTCCTTTGTTTTCAAAGGAAATTCTGCGTGCACATTCTCCCCACGGGGGGTTAGCAGAGTAGGACAAGGAAAGAGTCCTAGTGGTTCTGTTAATGAGGAAATCCTTTCCTCCTATGCGTATAATGATAGGTAATTGAATTAGTATAGTAGGGAAGGATTTGCTATTTCATACTCATAGTTTTTTCTTAACACCATGAAATTAAAGACATGCCAGCGTGGAGCTGCATACTCCTGATCACTTTCAAACAAGCAGTGTAGTATATTATTTCTTTTATGTGATTTTATAGCCCATGCTGGGCAAGATAATTGAGTCCGTGACAGATGTCTGTATTACGGAAGAAAATTTACTTGTGAACACACAAGCATGTATTACTTTTAACACGGGGCTATTCATTATGTGGCCCACAAGGTGCTTTTGGACGACTTGTAAATTGAAATTAATATTTTCTCTTGTCATTCTAAATATGCATAAGCAAGTTTGTATGATACAAGCAAGGAGAAGCTCATTCTTGTGTTTCAACATAGCTTTCTGTTGTTTTATTTATTTATTTACTTATTTTTGCTTTCTGTTTTTAATCAAGGCTTGGTCATACGTGAAGTATGGAATGAGAAAGCATTTCTTTTTCTTCCTTTGGTTCAGGGAAGCCCACAGACCCGCACAATACCCAAGACTTGAAGAAGTGCTGTCTACCACATCCATCCTCACAAGGGCATGGCTGTTAGATGGGACTCAACGTAAGGGAAACACGGAAGATGCTTCATGCATCTTTACTCATTCATGCCCAGGATGTCACTCTCCCCAAAACATACACGAGTTTGGTGCAGCATCTGATGCCCCTAATACTTCTGTGTGAGACTCACTGGCTTGGAGACCTGGGAGAACAATTATCACATGGAGGCAAACTGAAGAAACAATGGGGGAGGGGTGTCCAGAGGAGTGTGCAGTTCCATCCACTCTGAAACACTGCCCGGGAGCGTACTTCCTGTAAAATAAGCCTCTCATTCTTAGCTGCAGGCTATGTTTTTTTGTTTGTCTGTTTTCTTTTGTTTTTTTGTTTGCTTGTTTTTCTGGAAAACAACCCGACTTTTTATCAGTGGACTGTCTGCGCATCTTTTGCACTAAGACTATGTAGGCCATTAAAGTGAAATTAAACTGATAGATTACCATACCAGAGAGGACCTAAATTTAATGTTAGCTCTTTGGGGAATGACTTTTCTCTCAAATGGAAGAGGAGGCTGTGTTAAGCTTGGCTTCTCATGGCTGGCCTGCATACAGACAGGCATGTTCTGAAGCTGTAGCTCCCTGGTCACAGGTATGGGGTGGCTTCTCCAGGGGCTGATGGGCTTTTTTTGTCAACTTGATAGAAACTAGAGTTACCCGGGAAAGGGACTTTCAAGTGAGGAATTGTCCTCATCAGACTGGCCTGTGGGGCATTTTCTTGATTTATTATTGACTGTGACCACTCCTGGGGAAATAGTCCTGAGTTGTCTAAAAAAGCAAGCTGAGGAAGCTCTGAAGAAGCCAGTGAGAGTGTTCCTCCATGGTAGTCCCTGCTTCAGTTCCTGCCTCTAGGTTCCTGGGAGAGCTTCTGCCTAGTTCCTTCAGAGATAGACTGTTTCCTGAAAGTGCAAGCCAAAAAATTCCTTTCCTCCCAAGTTGGTTACTGTGAGTGTATTATTACAGCAACAGAAACCAAACGAGGACACTCAGGCATGGAACTGAGTTTGCATTCTGAAAACTCATGCTATTGACTGTCCACCAGGAGCTTGAGGGTGTGAGACAATGCATTTAGACATTTTAACCCAAGTTTTCTCTCTCCCTCTCCCTCTTTTTCTCTCCCTCCCTCCCTCCCTCCCTCCCTCCCTCCCTCCCT